TCTGAATCTCTATCGACATTCACATACTCAACCTCTTACCGAATGGCCAGTAAAATCCTTTGCAGAAGCTTCGCCAACCATGCGATCGCTAATCTACTCACAGGGGATAACCCACTTGTGGAAATCACTTATCGATATCTTCCAATGTCGCTGCATGAGGTACAGTCACTATGACATCTATAACCCCTTATGAGCACGTGCTCCTTCACCAGCTGCACAAGTCCATTCACTCCTCGTGGATATCAACCAAATGTGCTACAATATCTTCCAATTCAAAGTTATGTTGTATCCTTCTTCATATCAAGCAGCTCCTTTCCGTCATATCAAGTCTCCTACCGTATGCTGGCCAATATTTCAAATTAAGCTCGTAGGCCCATTCACCGTCCACTAAAATTCCTCAAATCACTCCAAACTTTCTTAAGGTACGTAGTCATCCTACCACAAAACCCATATGCAACTCTGCCACTCTCTCAATTTGGCCAAACTCACTCCTTTAAACAACTATTCGACCTTCGCTTCTTACACCTAGTCTTCTAGAAATTTAACCGCCGCCTAACACTTCCCACAAGTCCTCCCTTATCCTTTGATGCCTGATTGATGCCTTGATCCAATCTCTATCTCTGTAACATTGGAACTAATAGATCGTTACTAACTCTAAATCTTTTCGAAGATCATCTTTCTCAAGCCGTCAACATTAGAAACATTGATTCCATCCTGAACAACTGCACCCCGCGATCTCTGACAACCGCTCCTCAAATACTATTTCACAATATCCTGCCCTAAATGTGAATTGCAGAAGACCATAACATCGGCGAACTTAACTCATTCAATTGAGGACGACGACCCCACATCGCAAATGAAAATTCCACCACGCTCGAAGATACCAAGTCTCGTTACTTCCTCCACACAAATCTGGACATTCATAGGCCAATTGCTTTTCCTCTACCAGAAATAAGATACTAAATATCGGAACCATGCACTGAGTAAATCTCCTTTCAAGTCATTCACTACCCTAACACATGGGCATGCATCCTACCATCACGTCACTACTGTGCGATAAACATTCAAGAGCATCCAAGCAACCTATGCATAGCCTCAAAGCTCTCAGAAGTACAACTACTAATCTAAAAGGACAAGATAATCTTTTGCAAGGCGACGGTAATAGCCTAATCAACTATGCAGGGAGAAACATCTCGCACCACATCTATAGTTCCATTAAAATCCTTCAATTCTCAATTTATAATAAGCATTTCACATCACATGAGATTTAATAGGAAGGAAATAAAGGTATAATCCTCAAAGGAATCAAACCACACGATGAGGAATCAAGAAGGGAAGTACTCCTAACAGCCCCGTAGCCACTCGAAGATAAGTACAGACGTCTCTATACCGATCCGCAAGACTTTACTAGACTCGCTCATGACTCGTGAGACCTAAGGGAACCTAGGGCTTTGATACCATGTTGTCACGATCCAAAATCCGCTAAGGGTCGTGATGGCACCGGACACCGCTGTCAGGCAAGCCAACCATAAATGCTTAATTTAATTCTTATCTTAATAATTTTGAAAACTGAAATTTTCCTTCAATTCAGATAGTAAAAGATAATCTTTACGAAATTAAATAAAAGAACGTTTAGAAGTAAATACAAAATACCTCATAATCATCCCAGAATTCGGTGTCACAAGTGCATGAGCAATTTCTAGGAAATAATGTAATACAACAACTATCCGGAATACAATATTGGACGGAAAGTAAATACAGTAATCTGAAAGAGACTCTGCTGGCTGCGGGTCGTCTCGAAAAGTGCAGCTCACCTAAGTCTCTGTATCAACCATGCTGCTACACCCACTAGGCCACTAGAGATGCATGTGGCAGTGCAACAAAAATGCACAGCAAGTGTAGTATGAGTACGAAAACAACGTGTACTCAGTGAATATTCTGTCTAATCTCGAAGAAGTAGAGATGAGAGGTCGACTTCGACACTTACTAGTGGTCCAATAATAGTATTTGTAAAAATGGGAGGAGATCATGGATTTACAAAGCAATTATAAACTTATAAAGCCGGATAGCAGGTAAACAACTTCTCAAATAATAATGGGTACCAAAGATTTACTTTTCATCATCTTTATCAATTTATCTCTGGCCAGGAAAGGTAAATATCAACATTTATAAATCCCAGGAAAACATATAAGCATGCGCATATCATGCCAAGGTCGTAAGGCCCGATCCAACATAAATGTAAAATGTGCACTTCCGAGGGTCGAACGGTGCGAACCATAGATACATCTATTACCCTGCTCGTGAATCATACATGCGATGCGGTCAACATAAATAAACAAACACCCCGCTTGCGAATCATACATGCGACACGGGCACACATAGATACACGCATTCAAACCTCCAATTAAGAATTTATCGGGGAACGTTTATTCAATAAAAGCTAGTTCTCTTTTAATGATTTAAGAAAATGAAGTTTAATTCTTTTATAAATTCACTTACCAATTCGATAGGATTTAAGCAACTCAACAGTCAATAAAATTACAAATATTCCAAGTATAGCATACTTCTGGGTCCTAGACTACCCGGACTTACAAATAATAGTAGCTACGCACGGACTCTCGTCACCTCGTGCGTACATAGCCCCCACAAATAGAAGCACATAAAAAATTATTTCACCTATGGGACAATTCCCTCTTACAAGGTTATAAAGGAGACTCACCTCGCTCCGAAGATCCATCACCGGCATTCCACGCCCTTCTGAAAACTCAAAGTGACGCACAACACTCCAAAACTAGCCAATCATTATGTAAACCCATTAATATATGTTCAATTGCTCATTAGAATCCAATTTATAATAATTTCTAACCCCGATCAAAAAGATGACAAAAACGCCCACGTGCCTGGATTCCAAAATTTTTTGAAGATTAAGTTTACCCATAGCCTCACGAACTCAATTATATAATTCACTCTCAATTTCATACCCAAAATCGTAGTCAAAATCCAAGAATATCAATTTTCTAGGTTTTCCCTCAAACCCCAAGTTTCTATCAATTTTCATGCTCAAATCCGTAACAAAACCATGTATTTAACGTCTAATGAGTGGGAACAACTTACCTTGACGTAGATGAAGAAAATCTCTCTTCCAAAAGCTCCAAAATCCCCCAACCCGAAATGAAAATGGGTGGAAATGATCCAAAACTCGATTTTTAAAGAGAGCTCACTGCCTCCAGCCTCTTCGCACCTGCGGTCCCGCAGGTGTGGACTAAACGCCGCTTCTACGGTCCAGGGCTCCCAGCCCATTCCCGTTTTTGCATCCTTACCTCCGCAGGTGCAGTCTCGCTTTTGCGGCAAAATGACCACATCTGCGGTCCCAACTCTCCCCCACCAAAATTGCATCTGTGACCCTATGGCCGCTCCGGCGGATCCGCATTTGCGGCCAAAGCTTCGTAGGTGCGGTTACACCAGATACCAACTGCATCAAACCTTCTCCAAATTCCATTTTTTGATCCGTTAACCATCTGGAATCCACCAAAGGTCCCGGGACCCCAACCAATCATACCAACCAGTCCCAAAATACATTACGTACTTGCTCGAGGCCTCAAATCATATTAAACAATGCTAAAATCATGAATCGACCTCCAATCTAAGCTTAATGAACTTTAGAATTTCAAACTTCTACATTCAATGCTGAAACATATCAAATCATGTCCGATTGACCTCAAATTATTCACACAAGTCACATTTTGCCATTACGGACCTATTCCAACTTCCGGATTCAGAATCTGACCCTGATATCAAAAAGTCCACTTCCGGTCAAACTTCTCAAAAACTTTCAAATTTCTAGCTTTAGCCAAATGACTCTAAAATGACCCACAGACCTCTGAATTCACTTCCGATCACGCTCCCAATACAAGAATCACCATACAGAGCTACTCCTTGACTCGGAATCCTAAAAGTTCATTGATAACACTGAAATGCACTTCAACTCAAACTTATGAAATTTTTCTTAAAATGCTAACTTCTACAATAGGTGATGAAACATTCCCGGGTCTTCCAAAACCCGATCCAGACATATGCCCAAGTCTGAAATCATCACACGAACCTACTGAAACTTTCGAATCCTGATCCCGAGGTCTTTTACTCCAAAAATCCAATCTTAGTCAGTTCATCCAACTTAAGGCTTCCGAAATGAAAATTCTCTTCCCAAATCAGCTCCGAATTTCCCGGAATTCGATTCCGATAATGCGTACAAGTCATAATACCTGAAGCGAAGCTACTCATAGCCTCAAACTGTTGAACGACGTGTTAGAGCTCAAAACGGTCGGTCGAGTCATTACAATAATTTAGTACCACAATTTATTCCACCTTATCCCGCGTACCAAAAGACAGGTATCGGGTTCATATGAACGAGTACTTTCCATAAAAGAGTTTTGTGGTGCATAAAGCATCCCCCATTCACACAGGATTAGATTAATGACCCCCACCCAAGATGTGTGATACAGACAACATACTCTAATGCAAGTATTAGTGGCCGCTTCCAAGGTTCGAACCCGTGACTTATACGTCACACGGAAGCAACTTTATTGTTGCTCCAAGGTTCTCCTTCATGAACTGTATACATGTAATTTTTGACCCTCCACGTCTTCAAGCTATATTAGTAGTTTCACCTATTTTATATATTTATTTATCTGAGTTATTTAAATTTTTCTAGGATTCTAATATATTATCTTTATTTTTATTTTATTCGGTTTGTTTTAGAATTTTTAAAATCAAAAACACAAAAATATTTTCATTTCTATTGAGGTCATTAGTCCTTTTATAATGATATTATTTTAATTCTAGAAGGATTCTAAGTTACTTATCTTCACTTTTATTTTAATATAATTTCGTAAAAATACAAAAAAAAAGTTTCATATTTTAATATAGTTTAGTTTAATTAATTAAAGTTAATTTTTGCATTGTGTAGTATTTTTATCTCATATAAAAGGAATTTAGCTAAGGTTTTAGACAATAATTTTTAAAGTCTTGGAACCCAATTTTAGAACCCAAATTTGAATCTTCCACCTGAGCGCAATCTCTTGACCCATCAGCCCTTTTGGAGGAATTAATCCAAGCCATTCACCCAATCCCCATATAATGGATAAGATCATTTTTTACAGCCATATAAAAATATCATCTAAACCCTAATAATCCTAAAAGAAGTCAGTCGTCCCCCCCCCTTGAGAGTTCAAGTTTTCTCTCAAACTTTGAGAGCAACAACAGCCCATCTCCGCCCATCTCGCCGGAAACCCGAACGCCCAACCACCCTAACCTATATCTCCTTTAGCCGCCAACCTAACCCCCCATCTTCACCTTAGAGCAGCCATCACACACACCCAAGAACAGAGAAAGACCTAACTCCCAAAAAATGGCCGCACCCTCCCATCTCCATCTCCCAGACAAAAACCAGCCGCACACCACCCCAATTCCTCCACCCTATGACCAGCGGCCGCCTCCGTCATTCTTAAAAATTCCATCACCACCCAACTCTAAGAGAAAACAGAGCACACCTAATTTCAGAAGCCTCTGCCGCCGTTACTCCACTCCCGCCTGCTCACCTTTTTCCTTTTTGGTGAAATTTCATTAAATCCCCCTTCTTCTATGGAGTTAGATTTGGCGATTGGCAAGTGAAGTGAAGCATGAGCTATTGAGGCATTGAGCAGTTTTCTCTTTGTTAAGTTAGTAAAAGGTAATTGATGTTTGATCGCTGATTTGATACCAAAGCTAAAAAAACAGAAAAAAGAAGGGAGGATAACGAAAGGGAAGGGACAGAGATTAGACAAGAAAAATGGAGATCTGGAGGAGCTGACTATTAGACATAAGGAATTTTTTCTTTAAATTTGAAGCTGGCTTGGTTCGATTGATGTCGAGGTGCCGTTCGAGGTTATTTTCATGGTCCGCAGATCAATCTTTTAATGTTGTTGCATTTTTCAGTCAGATTTAGTTCGTCGAAGATTTTCATTACCGAGTTCTCGTTAATTCTAAGGAATTTATTATTGAGGTCCGTCTCTTTCCATATCTGTTCATTTTTTATTAATTAATAGATTTACTTTCTATTTCAATAAGTTTGAATATGCATTGATCTGTTTAATCTTGGTTGGTTTTCTTGTCACTTTTTTAATTATTTTTTTGAATTATTTTTTATAAATATGTCCTATAAATTTTTTTAAAAAAATGAAGACAAATAATTAAGTTGAATGAAGGTGGTGACATATTGAATTAATTGGATCGTGAGGTTCGGGATGTTAAAAAACAAAATATGGGTTTGCATTTCCCAAAACAAATTAGTAGTAGTTGAGAACTAAATTTGTAACGATTTGAGCTTTAGAGGTTTTTTTTTTGTTTTGATTTATTAGTTTAATCGCTAGGGGCATGTTTAGGCCGTTAATGTTTGGGTGGGCAAATTTTAGGATTTTGTTTGTTAAATTTTGAGGTGAGAGTTCGTTCTCTTTAGTTATATTCAGGGGAATGCCCCGTGGATTCTGTATATATTTTTGTTCAGGGATATGCCCCGAAGTGAGTGTAAATGGGGGTCGTGGCATCATTGTTAGAGGCACAAGATAGGATAGAGAGACTTAGTCTTTTTGTTTTGTTTTCTTTTATTAGGTGGGGAAGACCTCGATCCTTTTGTGTTTACTGCCGCTTTCGTGTGTTTTTACCTCAATTTGAATATTTTAAAAGCCAATTTGATCGGGTACGCAACCTGACTTTCATGGGACTCGGGGAATGCCTAACACCTTCTCCCAGAGTCAAATGAACCCCCTTACCTTGAATCTCTCGTGAAAACTTGTTTAAGAGTCAAACGTGTTTTGAAGGGAAATTGTTATTTTAAAATAAAATGGTGACCAGGCACACTGAAACCAAATATTTGGTGGCCACTCTGAAAATCCTTATAAAACACAATCTTTTGTCACTTTTTCTAAATGAAAACACTTTTTGATCTTTACAAATCTTTTTATTATTTTAAAAGGGTTAGTAGAGGTGTAAAAAAAAAAGGTGTGACAGCTCTGGCGACTCTGCTGGGGAGTTGCAGGTTCGAGCTGATACTTGATCTTGTTGGCTTTTAGGATATTCAATTGAGGTATTTGTTTTCTTTATTCGCTTTGTTTGTCTTATTTTCTGTTTTGTTGGTTATTTGTTTATCGCTTTTCCTTATGTGGTTACCGTTTTATAACTGTCAACATATGCATAATCATGGGTCTTCTTTCTGCAACAAGTCTTGTAGTACGCATCGGGTACACAAACTCTTTGTTGAATCACCCTTATTTTAGGAGGGGGGCCGTCGAACGTATGGAGTGGGTGGAAAGCTTAAGCAACCACTATCGACCATACGCTCCCCCGAATTGCCTTGTTAGTGAACCCCAAACGTAGGTCAACCTTTAGGTCATTTTTTTTGCATCATATCATTATGACCTAGTAGGGCCCGGTCTAAGGTGTTGTGTCCTTTGTAGAAAACATGTCCAAATTGTGTCAAATGGGCCCGCTGGCCCAAAGTGACATTCAATCATCTTATCTGCTAAATGTTACATCTTTGAGGGTAGAAATGTCATTTGATGGACAGATGTTTGGGAAAGAAGGGAGAAAAATAAAGCAAGAGGGCCCACTTTTATTTTCTCTTTCACAATTGTTTTCAAAAAAAATGAAAGAAAAATTCCAAAAAGATTTTACACCTTCATACCATTTTTACAAAAAATCAAAAAGAAGCAACTCATTTTTTCAAGTTTAATTGACCCTTTTGTAAGTCTTTTCAATTTTGGCCAATCTTCCCGAACTACACATACCTAATTCTCATTCTTGGCTTCGGGGGTGGTAGCCAAATCTTGCATGTCTAGCCACTTTTGGCCACATCGGCCTTTTTATAAAATAGGGCTATTTTGCCAAGTGACTTGTTGAACTGTGTTTGGGGAGTCTAGAATCCACAATTAGCTGTCTCCTTACTTTAAGGCCCGTCCTTGTTGAATTTGCATACCTAGCCGCTTTTGACCCATCGGTCGTTCTTGCAAAATGGGATCATTTTCGCAAAAGTGGTTTAGTGATTCATGTCTTAGAGTCCTAAGTCCACAACAAAGTGTCCTCTTTGTTTAAGGTGCATTTTGTTGAGTTTGTACTTCTAGCCACATTTTGGCCACGTAGGTCATTTTGCAAAAATAGCCTTAATCGTGCCTTGCATGTGTCCAATACAAGGTGTCGTGGCATCATATAGTGTCTTGAGTCACTAATCATTTGGTCTTGTTTTTCTCATTCAGGCATGGATCCATGTACCAGAGCTCGAGCATGACAGATACTCCAGGACCATTGCATTTGAGAGCTTGTTTGAAGAGACTTTTTATATTTTGAGTCTGTTTTCATGTTTTCTTTTACTTTCTTGTCTTGTCTAGTATTTTTGAGTCTTTTAGGTGGTGTAAGAGTTTTCCGAGTCTTTTGTCATCGTACTTCCCATTTGTATTTGAAAACAAAAAAAAGTTTTAAATGAAAAATCCAAAAAGATTTTTGTTTTTTAGTTTATTTGTCTATTACTTTTCTAGAACTACGCTTGGTTTGATTCATGTGTCACATGATACGTAGGAAACCTACATAGGGTTCGATCGAATCATTTTTAAAATTAAAAAGGAAAAAAAGGATGATGAAGTTGTGGGATATGAAAAATGAGAGGAAACTGCTGGATGAAAGAAAATAGTGATTAATAGAAAGAAAAGAGAGGAAAATGAGCAAGACAAGAAGTACTAGAAAAGAAAAAAAGAGAAGATTGAAATGAACAACATTGGGATGATGCGAAATAACCTTCTGACCCTCCATGTCATTCTAGAACAATTAATTGTTGCTAGTGGTATTGAACGCAATGTGATATTTCTATATGATAAATGACCTAACGCGAACATGTTGGATTTGTTTTCCTCCTTTTTGGTACTTTCATTGTTATCATAACGGAGGGTGGTTAGTTTGTGGCACTTTGGCAATTCATCCATACAACACAAGGTCAAAGAGCAAGGTAGCCATGGCTAGAAAAGACTTGGACACAAAAGTTATTGACCCGTTGAGGGAGTTTGTGGAGTCAGAATCTGAATTAAAAGAGGAGGTCCAAGGTTGAAACAGTAGATGACAGAAATGTATCAGTCTTGGATCAGGGGGCAACCTCTACCTTCATTCCCCATTAACTACACTGAAAACCCTGCAACTATCCCACAACAATCGCAAGCCCAGGTTCCCAATACCATTGATCTTTCCCCTCAACACGCACCAGGCTTCACCCCTTACCACTCCTACCTCGGCACTTTGTCCCAAATTTTTCATGTTCCACCAGCCAAAACTACCTCATACCCTCCCATTTTTGTATCCCCTCCACAAGATACCCTCTACCGATCCTCTAGTGAGCCCGCATTCCAAGCTCAAGATACCCAATACTATGCTCCAGAACCAACCTTCAAAGTTCCGGATCCTTACTCCTACACCCCTCAGTTTGAGCCTCATGTTGAGACCGAGAAACCATCCAAGAACGTGGAACAAGATGAAATGTTCAGGAAAGTGAAGAGTCTGGAGCAATTATTGATGAATATGCAAGGGATAAGAAGCCAAGTAAGTGTGGCTTACAAGGGCTTGTGCTTGTTCCCTGATGCCCAACTGCCTGCCGGGTTTAAGATGCAAAAGTATGATCTATACGACGGACATGAGGATCATGTAGCCTATTTGAGAGGATTTTACAGTAAGATGAGAGGTGCCGGTGGGAAGGACGAATTATTAATGGCATATTTCAGCCAGAGTCTGAGTGGGCGGCTTTATAATGGTACACCCGCCAGGACGGCAGCAGGTGGTACACATGGGACGATTTGGCTCAGGCCTTCGCTCGGCATTTTCAGTACAACATAGATATTATCCCGGATTGCCTATCCTTGACCAAGATAGAGAATAAACCCAATGAAAGTTTCAGGGAATATGGTTTTAAATGGAGAGAGCAAGCCGCGCGAGTCAATCCTCCGATGGAAGATGCTGAAATGATCGAGTAATTTCTTCAAGATCAAGAGCCTACTTACTTTGGGCATTTGATCTCGGCTGTGGGTACGCCTTTTAATGATGTGGTAAAAATGGGAGAAATGATAGAAGAAGGGCTGAAGTCAAGCAATGTCACGACCCTAAACCCGGACCCGATCGTGATGGCACCTATCGTGAAGACAAGGCCAGCCAATACACTCCCAATTCATATTTAAGCAATTAAATAATAAAAACTAAGTCTTTAACATAATGATAATAATCCCAAAATAAGATAAATAGTACAGATTGTGGAATAGACATAGCCCAGCATCGGGGTGTCACCAGTCATGAGCATCTATCATAAAAACTACAAGTCTGAAAAGAGTCTACACAACTATTACATAACTAAAACAGGAGAAAGAAAGATAAAGGGAGAAGCACTGGGCTGCAAATGCCGAGCAGCTACTTAGTGAATCTCTGAAGTCTGCCAGAAGCTCTCAACCCTCGCAAGCAGGACCTGATGCGCCTGAATCAGCACACGGGGTGTAGGGAGTAAAGTGAGTACTCCAAATTAGTGAGTAATAACAATAAATGTAGGCTGAGTAATAAGAAGTCCGTAAAGGCATATCAGGAGGCTATAAAGAAGCATTAAAGGCCAGTAAAAGTAATAAAATAATGAAAATATGTAAGGTCACTTTAGTTCAGTTTAAACTTCTTTGAAATGCCTTTCTAACAGTTAAGCAAGTAAATGACAGGCAACTAGAAAAGATAATCACATAAAGAAGCGCCCCTCGAGCACAATACCCACAGCTCCGGCCCCTCAGGCAACACATGGAACAATACCAGCCCCTCGGGCTATATCTCATATCATAGGGGGTACCAGCGCTCACTAGGGTGTGCAGACTTCTGCAGGGGCCCCTTATGGCCCAAGCGCACTATCAAGTCATCTCGTGGCATAATCAATAGGCTCTCGGCCTCATATCAAGCCACCTCGTGGCGTACAACTCAGGCCCTCGGCCTCATAATCATAATCAGTGTATCCTCACACACAGACCCTCGGCCTTACTCAGTTAGAATCTCATAAGTCACTCGGGCAATAGTAAAACATGATGCTCAACCCAATTTATCATTGAAAATATCATTTAATGTTTAAAACAAAGTAAACATGGTTGAGTTAGAAAAACAAAAGAATATAGCATGACTGAGTACAAGTATAAAGTCAAAATAGTGCGGAAATATCAGTAAAGATCCCCTAAGGGTTCAAATGATTGGCACGAGGCCCAAATATGGCATTTAGCCCAAAACATGATGATAGCAAATAGTTTTCAATCAAATACATGGTAAAACAGTCATTCGGGATGGATAAGTCACACTCCCCAATGGTGCACGACCCCACGCTCATTATCTAGCGTGTGTGTCACCTCAATATAGCACCACGATGTGCAAATCTGGGGTTTCATACCTTCAGGACAATATTTACAATCATTACTCACCTCTACCTGGTCCAAATCTCTAGGTCGCGATGACTTTGCCCCTCGAATCGGTCTCCGGATGCTCCAAATCTAACCAAAATCAGTGCAAAACCATCAAAATATGCTAAGGTAACAAAGCTCACTCGAAAGAAATCAAATCACTCCCCGAGTTCATTCATACCAAAAGCATCAAAATCCAACCACAAACGACCCCTCAAATCCCAAATTCTAGGTCTCCAATTACAAGCCCTAGTTCTTCAATATTAAGCTTAAATTCCATGATTAATTAGGTAGAATCCACATTAGAATCGAGAATTAAGTCCATAAATCTTACCTCCAAGTATTTCCCCTTGAATCCCTGTGTTATCCTCTTCAAAAAGCTCTAATATCGCTCAAAAATGGTGGAAGTTAACCCATAAATCGCTGACCAAATGGCTATTTAAACATTCTGCCCAGGCATCAAATCCTTCTTCGCGAACGAGGTCAACGCCTCGCGTTCGCGAAGCACAAACTTACTTAGATCGAAATTCCTTCATCGTGATCGCGACACCTATCTCGCGAATGCAAAGGCTTAGCTCCCTAACTCACCTCGAACGCGAAGAACAAATCAACCTCAACCCAGCCGCTCAACTTTCCTCTACGTGAACGCAGCATTACCTCGCGAACGCGATGCACAAGACCCCAGCCCTTCGCGAACGACGAGCCTCCCTCACGAACGTGAAGGCTAAATCCTCAGCCTCACCTGCTAACCCTTCGCGAATGCAAGGGCCCACTCGCGAACGCGAAGGTCAACTTTTCTGCAACACTCCAACAGATTTTCTACAATTCTCCAAAACATGAAATGGTCCGATTGACCACCCGAAACTCACCCGAGGCCCCCGGGACCTCAACCAAACATGCCAACATATCCCATAACATCATTCAAACTTTTTTCAATCTTCGAAATGCTCAAAACGGCACCAAAACACCAAATTCGCATCGGAATCAAGCCTAAGAATTCCAAAATCTTCTAAAATACGCTTTTGATCAAAACGCCTACCAAACCATGTCCGAATGAACTAAAATTTTGCACACACATCCCAAATGACACAACGCAACTGCTACAACTTTTGGAATTCCAATCCAATCCCTATATCAAAATCTCACCTATCAACCAAAAAAATTCAAAAATCCAATTTCGCCAATTCAAGCCTAAATCTACTCCGGACCTCCAAAACACATTTTGATCATGCTCCTAAGTCCCAAATCACCTCCCGAAGCTATCTGAACCTCCAGTTGACTTTTCCAACTTAAGCTTCCTCAAAAGAGACTAAGTGTCTCAAACCTTCTCAAAACCTCTCTGAACCCGAAACAACCAACCCGATCACATATAGAACCGATAAACAAAGCAATAAGAAGCAGAAATAGGAGAAACGGAGCGGTAACTCAAGAGATTACTGGTCAGGTCGTCATATCATCCCCCTCTTAAACAAACGTTCGTCATCGAACGAGTCAAGAAACATACGTGAAGCCTCAAACAGGTGGGGATATCTGCTCCGCATCTGCCGCTCGGTCTCCCAGGTAGCCTCCTCCACGGGCCGGCCCATTGCACTTTCACTGAAGATATATCCTTTGATCTCAACTTTCGAACCAAACGCCCCAAAATAGCTACTGGTTCCACATCATAAGTCAAATAATCATCTAACTGAACCATGCTGAAATCCATAACATAAGACAGGTCCCTAATATACTTCTGGAGCATAGAAACATGAAATACCGGATGCATACTCGACAAGCTAGATGGCAAAGAAAGCTCATAAGATACCTCCCCAATCCTCCAAAGCACCTCAAAAGGCCCAATGAACCGAGAACTCAATTTACCCTTCTTCCCAAATCCCATAAAACCCTTCATAGGCGAACCCTTCAATACAACCTTCTCACCAACCATGTAGGACACATCCCGAACCTTCCTATCAGCATAGCTCTTTTGTCTCGACTGCACTGTACGAAGCCTCTCCTGAATTACCTTCACCTTTTCTAAAGCATCCTGCACCAAGTCATTCCCCAATAGCCTATCCTCATC